TGGAACAATTGGATATCCCTAGTCAGAAAAATGAAATTTGATCCATGTTACCATGTGCAAAAATTAACTTGAAATAGATAGTAGGCCTAAATGCAAAACATGAAACTGTAAAACTTCCAGAAGCTTTCAGTGAGGCAAAGATTTCTTAATTATGATACCAAAAGCATGTTCCATTAAAGGAAAAAATTGACAAATTGAATATCCACAAAAACCCTACACCTAACATCACACTTAATGGTGAGAAACTAGAAGCTTTCACACTACGGTCATGAACAAGACAAGGATGTCCCCTTTCACCGCTGCTTTTCAACATCATACTTGAAGACCTAGCTAATGCAATAACACAAGAAAAGGAAATAAAAAGTATACAGATTGGGAAGGAAGAAATAAAACTGTGCTCACAGGTGACATCAATTATCGATACAGAAAATCTGTAAAAATTGACACCCCCCCCAAAAAAAAACCTCTGGGAACTAATAAATGATTATAGCAAGGTTGTAGGATACATGGTTTATATACAGAAGTCAATCACTTTCCTACATACCAGCAATGAAGAAATGAAATTTGAAATTTAAAACACATTACTGTTTATATTAGCACTCAAAAAATTAAATATGCAGGTACAAATCTAATAAACTATGTATAAAATCTATATGAGAAAACCTATAAAACTGATTAAAGATATCAAAGAATAACTTAATAGATAAGATACTTCCTATTTATGGATTAGGAAGACTCAATATTTTCAAGACATCAGGTTATCTCACATTGATATATAGATTCAACTCAACGCCAATTAAAATCCCACCAAGTTATTTTATGGATGTCAACAAACTGATTCTAAAGTTTATGTGGAGAGGCAAAATACCTAGAATAGCCAACTGAATATGAAGAAGAATGAAGTTAGAGGATTGACATTACCTGACTTCAAGACTAAAGTGATCAGACTAAAGTAATCATATAGTGTGGTATTGATGAAAGAATAAATAAATAGATCAGTGGAACAGAATAGAGAGCCCAGAAATAGACCCACATGAATATAGTCAACTGATCTTTAATAAAGAAGAAAAGAAACAGTCTTTTCAACAAATGATGCTGGCATAAGTGGACATCCACATGCAAATAATAAATAAATAAAGATTTTATACCTTTCACAAAAATTACTCAAAGTGGAATACAGATCTAAATGTAAAATGCAAAACTATAAACCTCCTAGAAAACCTAGATGGCCTTGGGTATGGCAGGGACTTTTTGGATACAACACAAAGGCATGACCCATGAAAGAAATGATTGATAAGCTGGACGTATTATCAAAATGAAAAACTTCTGCTCTGCAAAAGACAATGTCCAAAAAATAAGAAAACAAGTCACAGACTGGGAAAAAATATTTGCAAAAGAAACATCTGATAAAGGATTGTTATCCAAATTATACAAAAGGGGAGGGTACATAGCTCAGTGATAAAGTACATGCCATCCCCAGTACCTCCATTAAAAATAAATAAATAAACCTAATTACCTCCCCTCTCCTCAAAAAACAAAACAAAATTTCTTAATCAAAACATACAACGAACTCTTAAAATGTACAATGAGAAAACAAACAACTTGATTTTAAAATGGGCCAAATTCATAGCAGCACTGTATACAATAGCCAAGAAATGGAAGCAACCTAAATGCCTCTTGAGAGATGACTGGATAAAGAAGTTGTGGTATATTTATACAATGGAATACTACTCAGTGATAAAAAAGAATAAAGTAATGCCATTTGTAACAACATGGATGGACCTGAAGATCGTCATTCTAAGTGAAGTAAGCCAGAAAGTGAAAGAAAAATACCATATGGTATCACTCATATGTGTAATTTTAAAAAAGAAAAAAGGAGGACACTAATGAACTCAACTACAAAACAGAAACAGGATTTGCAGACATAGTAAACAATCTTATGGTTACTGGGGGAAAGGGAGTGGGAAGGGATAAATTTGGGAGTTTGAGAGTATATATAAAAGTAAATTAAAATTTTTCTTCTGTATAGGTCAGGGAACTATATTCAATGTCTTTTAATAACCTTTAATGAAAAAGAATGTGAAAATGAATATATGTATATATTATATATACATGACTGGGACATCATGCTGTATACCAGAAATTGACACATTGTAACATCAATTTTAAAAAGAATGGGCCAATGATCTGAACAACATCTCAGTAAAGAAGATACAGAAGAAATTAAGCATATGAAGGTATGTTCAACATCACACATCATGAGGGAATTGCAAATTAAAGCAACAATGAGATACCACTACACACCAGTTACAGTGACCAAAATCCCCCAAACTGACAATACCAAGTGCTGACAAGGAGCAACAGGAACACTCATTCATTGCTGGTGGAAATACAAAATGGTACAGCCACTTTGGAAGACAATTTGGCAGTTCCTTACAAAATTTAATATACTCTTACTAAACAATCTGTGTATTTTTCTTTCTACAATTTGCCATCCTAGAAACTCAAAGTTCTTTTTCTGTCTTGTTACTTTGCAAAAAAATTATTATTGCTACATAAGCTCAAGTTCTAACCACCCCTTTGTTACTTGTGTCTGAATGCTTACATGTTAATAAACTTCTGTTTGTTTTCCTCTTGTTAATCTATCTTTTGTTAGTCTTTATTTATAGGGTCCAAACTGAGAACTTAAGATAGGTAGAGGAAAAAGACTTTTTTTCCCTTTTATTTGAGGATTATTTAAGAAGCAATATTTTAAGAGGATTTGTTGAAATACAGGATTACTACAACAAACCGTCTTAAAAAATGTCTGAATAACTTCACTCAAACACTAAAGGGCACAATAGCATGATTTCCCTCCATACAATTTCATTTCAGAAACAGGGCTCAGCTGGATACTGAACAACACACAAAAGGGCACTTCAGAACTTCTAGGAGACTCCACAACCTCAGTGCAGTTAACGGGTAAGATCTAAGAAAAGGGAACACATGTGAATTAGTTAAGACAACTGGGGGATGTGGCCAGAAAGAAAGCTTTAGAAATGTCTGCTAGAATACTGCAGATTGCTCAGTACTTCTTAGTGATAATGAGCACAAAGAGGCTGCAGATGACCTCATCCAACTGTGTCATTACTGATGTGAAAACCAGGGCCCTGTGGAAAAATTTTTTTTCTGTTATCCTAAAGCCTTTTTTAAATTAGCAAGTTCATGTTTTAGTGACCAAAACCCAGAACTCCTGCCTCACAATATTTTCCCAAAGCTTTGAAACCGTATGGAAAAAGCAGAGAAAGGAGAGAAATCTTTAGAAAACTTCAGTAGAAAAGGAGTCTGCTGTCAAAATCTGACCAGTATCCTAACATGGCTGGAAAGGACTGGGAGATGCCAAGGGAGTTGTGAGGCTGCCACCCCAAAGTCAATCCATCTGGGCTTCATGGAGGGGAAGGTGGGGTCTTCAAGTTCTAAGCAAGGCCAGTGTACTGGGAGGGGTTGTTTTTGGAATGGGCTTGTTAGTTTTGGCCTTGGGCTACTCCTTTCCCATCTCTGATCTTCTGTTTCCTCATTTACAAAGTACGGATTAAGTGCTCCTAACATTATGATTATACAAAGTTTCAGAATTAGCTAGTTGCTTAACTGTACAATATTGGAGAGTGGAAGATGAGAAGTAAAAGAACTTGATCGAGCAAGTATTTCTAACCGATTAAAATGAAAGGTAGTGGTTTTTTAAAAATAACTCTAGCTTTTTTTTTTTTTAAAGAAATACAAACAAACTATTGCATTACTTTGCTAGGACTGCCATAACAAAGTAACACAGACTGGGTGGCTAGAGCAAGAGAAATTTCTTACAGTTCTGGAGAAGAGTCTAAGATGAAGGTGTCAGTAGATCTGGTTTCTTCTGAGGCCTCTTTCCTTGGCTAGCAAATGACTGCCTTCTTGAGCTGGTACTCACGTGGTCATTCCTGTGTGTGTGCACCCTTGGTCTCTCTTTTGTATCCAGATTTCCTCTTCTTATAAGGATGCCAGCCATACTGGATTAAGGTCCACCCTAAAAGCCTGGTTTAAGTTAACGGCCTCTTTAAAGGCCTTATCTCCAAATACAGTCATTCTGAGATTTTGGGGGTTAGGTCTTCAACATATGAAGGAGGCATACAATTCAGCCCATAACAACCATCTGTTTTAAAATTTTCATTTCAAAACACTGTGACCAATTGCATACTTTAGGGGAGAAATTATTTTAGGACATTTTCACATACTTTAAAATAGGATACATACTGCAATTAGTTGAATTAAATTAATAATATTTTCCTGTAAGTAACTTATACCTGGAAAGATAGTTAAAATGAAAAACTCTGTTTTTATTTAATTAGTCTTCACAGTTATTTATTAAGCAGTTTATTATGTGATTTCTGTGAAAATGCATCATTGAAGATATTCTTTAAAACAAATATATAAAAATTTAAAGTATCATAAAGATTTCACTAGCATACAGTCCAACACTGAAAATTTTAATACAGGCTAGCCTCATTTTACATGGGAAGATTTGAAAAGATAATGTTACTGTTTGACCCTGATTAACTGATAATACTTTTCCTAGAAGATGATGCCGAATGAGATACAGGACAAAACTCACAAAATTTAAAAACAGAATGTCTTAGAATCCACTTAATGACACTTATGCTTGACTGGCTAGCTGTTTTAATTACAATTTCAAGTCTTACAGATACAGAAATTCTATTTTTTCCAGGACAAACATTCATATCCTTATAATAGGGAAGAAAACAAACATTCAATTTTATCTGTTGAACCCTTTTACTTTTTGAGCTTAGTGGTCAACTTTTTTTTTCTCTTTCTTCACAGCTTGGCATTCAACTGACTCATTAGCTTCTCCAGTTTGATTGCTAGGGCCATGTTTCCTTTTACCTTCAATTTTCCTGACATGAATGCCATTGTTGGTTTTAGTTTCCCTAAAATGATACAATGAGAGAGGAAAAAGCAGCCATTAGTGCCCTCAGGGATACACTGCTTCAAGAACATGAATTGTAGAAAGAATCCCTTTGAGTTCTATAGACCTCTAAAGCACAGAAATTTCTTTTACAGCATATTTTTATCAGTATCTTGGGAATCCCAATTCCTAGACTTAGATGCTAACAATATTTTATTATATGAGAGATAATGTAAAAATAACAATCAACAAAAGATTATACCAAAAAGCTGAAGATGCAACATTTATATACTAGTTAAAGTACAATAAAGAATAGATGGCCCTCAAATGAATTGTGGTAAACATATACTATCCTTTTTAGTTAATTTTGCACTCTATTATGGTTCACTAAACTCTTAACATTCCAAGTTTAGATTCAAAAAGTCATAATGGTGTAAAGGAAATGATCATCAAAAGTATAATGTATGAACACAAAAGTATGTGTTAGCATTATTTTAACCACAGAAATGCCCAGATATAATACAGTGAACATTAAAATAGAATTGTAGCTAATAACAACATATAATAAAAAGAAGCTCCATGGAGAGAGGAAACTTTCTTTTTATTTGCTACTCTCATTCCAGTGCTGGTACAGGGTCTGGCACACAGTGGAATTAATGAGGAAAATGAGGCTCAGAGAGGATTTTTACATTTATAAGATCACACAGCTTATATGTAACAGTGCTGCAATCCAAAGCCAGGTGTGTCTGATTCTCATTTATAGTTTTCTGACCTATATTATGCCAAATTTATATATAGGGCATGTCTCCAAAAGGCACAATATGTGTCTGCTGTATTAGTAAACCTTCACTAGGACACACACAAGCTCTCTGTAAAAAAAAGAAAAAAAAAGTCTGTGGGTTAATATATTGTGTGTATATACTGAGATACTAAACACCTTTAAATTATTCTATATAGAGGTTATATAGCAAAGCATTATAGATTAAATGGAAACCAAAACAACAACAACCCAAAAAACAAAAACAGTTAAAAGCAATTCAGAGGAAGCAGAGAGTGCAGGCACAGAAGAAAGCTGAAGCAAAGTAAATGAACAAATTAAAAGTTGTGCAATTCATTTCACATTGATAAGAGCAGCTCTAACAACAATGTATTAAGAACAGGGTGCTGGAGGAAAAAGGGGGAGGCAGAGAAGCAGAGGAAAGAGAGAGGAAAAGAAATAAAAAGAGGTAGGGGAAAGAGAAAGAATAAGAATAGCATCAAATTCTCCATGTTAACCTTAGAAGACAGCAATGACTCCAAAATTCTGAGTGAAAATGAATTTCAACCCAGAAATCTCTACCCAAATAATCAATATGCTAGGAGAATACAAGCAGTTTTAGATACTCAGGAAAATTACTGTTTGTGTATCCTTTCTAATGAAGCTCCTGGAGAATGTGTGCCACCAAAATGAGGCTGTAAACCACGAAAGAAGAAAGGGATACAGGAAACAGGAGACTCAATGCAGGAGAGAGTTAAAGATATTTCTAAGATCAGAGCTGTGTAGCAGACTTGTATCAGGAGGTAATGGGAAGAGTATAGGAAGATATTGTGTAGTTTCCTTTTATGTATTCTAGTGGGGAGGAAACATTATTTATGTCCAGGGTTCTCTCTGAGAGGAAACATATTAATAGAGTACTCCTTGACTCAGCAGCAAATTACACCATAATTATAATTACTTAAACATAAGAGTATTGATTTAAGCAAAAATGGTGCGATAACTATATTGGTAGGATGGGAAAGGGGGAGGTGAAGCAGAGTCAAGGTGCTGTAAGAGAACTTAAATCTCATATATCAGTCTAGTGAATCTAAAGAAAACAATATATGTATAAATATAACATTGAGAAATATCATGACTGAAAAACATGGAGTAAAATATTGAAAGAAATACCAAAAAGACCTGACGGAGATTACCTCTGGGGAATGGAAGGGGAAAGGGTCAAAGAACACTTTTTAAAAATAGATACTTCTAAAAATTGATATAAAATTCACATGACATAAAATTAACCATTTTAAAGTGAATAATTCAGTAGCATTTAAGTGCAGCCCCAGTGTTGTGCTACCACCACCTCTGTCTAGTCCCAAAACATTTTCATCACCCGAAAAGGAAACCCTACACTCATTAAACACGAGCAGTTCTCACTTCCTCCAGACCCTGGCAACTACCAGTCTGCCTTCTGTCTCTATGGATTTACCTATTCTAGTTCATACAATATGTGTCCAATATAATATATGTGGTCTTTTGTGTCTACCTTCTTTCACTTAGCATGTTTTCAAGGTTCACCCATTTTGTACCATGAATCAGTACTTCATTTCTTTCCATGCCTGAATAATAGTTCACTGTGTATGGGTACACCATAATTTTTTTATCCATTCATCTGCTGATGGACATTTGGGTTGTGTCCAGCTTTTTGGATATTGTGAGTAAGTGCTACTATTAACATACGTATAAGTGTATTTGTTTGAGTATCTGTTTCAGTTCTTTTGAGTATATATTTAGGAGTGGAAATGCTGGATCATATAGCAATTCAATGTTTAACTAAACCCTATGCCTATGGTCTGCTGCATTCAATGGGAGAATAGTTTATTCAATTAATGGTGCAAGGACAACTGGATATCAACATGCAAACAAATGAAGGTGGACCTGTACCTTACACCATATACAAATATTAACTTAAAATGGGTCAAGGCCTAAATGTAAGAGCTAAAACTAAAAACTCTTAAAAGAAAATACAGGGGTAAGTCTTCAAAACTCAGGTTTGGCAAAGGATTCTTAGATATGGCACCAAAAGCACAAGCAACTAAATAAAAAAACAGATAAACTGGACTTCGCCAAAATTAAAAGTATATCATCAAAAAAGTGAAAATACAGCCCACAAAAAAAACGGGAGAACATATTTGCAAAACATACCTGATAAGCAATATCTTCTTTATATCTGGGGTATATAAAGAATTCTTAAAACTCAAAAAAAAAACCACCTTAAAAATTAAAAGAATATCCAATTAAAATGGGCAAAGGACCCCCCATAGTTATGTCTACAAGGAAGATATGCATGTGGCCAATAAGCACATGAAAAAATGCTGAAGAGCATTAGTCATTACAGAAATGCAAATCAAAACCACAACGAGGATTACTTCACACCCACAAGGGTTGCTTTTCTTTAAAAAAATGAAAATAACAAATATTGGTGAGGGCAAGGATATGGATAAATAGAAACCCTCACACACCGCTAGTAGGAATGTAAATGTTCAGCTGCTGTGGAAAACAGTTTGGCAGTTCTTCAGGGTTAAACGTAGAATTACCATATGATCCAGCAATACAAGAGAAATGGTGCAAGGACAACTGGATATCTACACAGAAACTTGGACACAAATGTTTATAGCTGCCTTATTTTTAACAGCCAAACAAAATATCTTTCAACAGGTGAACAGATAAATTATGGTATATCTGTGTGATGAATTATCCAGTCATAAAAAGAAATGAAGTATGGATATATGCTAGATATGAACCTTGGATACATTATACTAAGTGAAAGGAGCCACATAAAAAGGTCACATACTGTATGATTCCATTTATATGAACTATCCAGAATAGGCAAATCCATAGAGAAAAAAAGCATATTAGAGTTGCCATGGGATGGGGGAGGCTGGAATGGGTGTTGCTTAAATGGTATAGTGTGTTCTTCTGGGGTGATAAAAAAATTGTGAAACTAAAGAGAAGTGGTGGTTGCATAACACTGTGAATGCACTAAATTAAATGCTACTGAATTATGTACTTTAAATGGTTAGTTGTATGTTATGTGAATTTCATGTCCATTTTTATAGATGGGAATTAAATACTGATACATGCTATATCAAGAATGAAACCTGAAAACAAACTAAAAGAAGAAACATGCTGTAAAAAGCCAGTCACACAAAAAATCGCGTATTATATGATTCTGTTCATAGCAAATCTGGAATAGGGAAATTTAGAGACACAGGAAGTAGATTAGTGTTTGCTTAGGGCTATGGGCGGAAAGATGGGGGATATGGGATAAATAGCTAATGGGTAGGGGGTTTCTCTTTTTGGGGTGATGAAAATGTTCTGAAAGCAATTATGGTGATGCCTGCAAATACCTATGAATATGCTAAAAAAAACTTGTGAACTGTATACTTTAAATGGATGAATTATATAGTATGTGAATTATATACCAATAAAACATTTTTGTCAAAAAAATAGAAGCTATTGACATATACCAATAAATTGAAAGTAATTTAAAATTTTCCCACAAAAAAATCCCAGGCCCAAATGGTTTCTTTCACTGGTTAATTTGTAGGATACAAAATCAATACATAAAAATCAAATGTATTTATGTATACCAGCAACAAATAATTAAAAAAATAAAATTAAGACAATAATTCCATTCACAATAGCATAAAAAAGAATGAAATACAAATACTTAGGGGAAAAAGCATGAACCATAAAAGAAAAAAAATGACAAGATTAGGCTATCAAACCTAAAAACTTCTGTAACTCAAAAGATACCAGTAAGAAAATGAAAAGATAAATCACAGACTAAGAGAAAATATCTATTTGCAAGTCACATGCATCTAGAATTTATAAAGAAGTCTAACAACTTAGTAATAAAAAGACAAACAAATCAATTTAAAAAAGAGGAAAACATCTCAAAAGACAGTTCATCAAATACAAATAGCTATTGGGCACATGGAAAGATGCTCAACATCAATAATTTAGAAAATGCAAATTAAAACCACAATGAGATACCACCACACACCCACTAGAATGGCTATGACGACAAAGGCACTGCCATTTGCGAGAACATGGATGAACCTGGAGGACATTATGCTACGTGAAATGAGCAAGACATGGAAAGGCAAAAACTGTATGATCTCACTTACATGTAGAATCTAAAATAGTCAAACTCACAAAGGCAGAGTGGAATGTTGTTTGCCAGGGGTTGGGGAGTCGGAGAAATGGGGAGATGCTGGGTCACAGGGTATACACTTTCAGTTATAAGATGAATAAGTTCTAGAGATCTAATGTTCAGCAAGCATGGTAACTATAGTTAATAATGCTGTACTGTATACTTGAAACTTGCTGAGAGTAAATCTTAAGTGTTCTTACAACAACAACAGAAAGGTAACCATATGAGGTGATGGATGTGTTAATTAGCTTGACTATAGTAATTTCCCAGTGTATACAAATACCAAGTCATCATGTTATATATCTTAAATATACACAATTTTTATTTATCAATTATCTTAAATATGTAAAATTTTAATTTATCAATCAATAATTATTATTATTAGTGCTATTAAAAAAAGACACCATTAAGTATTAGAGAGGACTTGGAGAAATCTGAACCTTTATACAATGCTGATGAGAATAGAAAATTAGTGCAAACACCTTAGCAAAGTTTGGTGGTTTATTAAAAAGTTATATATCAACTTACCACATAACCCAGCAATTCCACTCTTAGGCATCTACCCAAGAGAAATGAAAATATACATCCACCCAAATATGTGAATGAAAACATTCATAGCAGGCAGCAAACTTGAAATAACCCAAATGTCCACCAGCTGGTGAGTGGATAAGTATGTGATATATCCACATAATGGAATACTATTCCATGATAAAAAGGAACTGTACTATTGATAATGCTACAACACAGATGGCTAAATCTCGAAAGCCTTTTGCTAAGTGAAAGAAGCCAGATACAAAAGACTAAATTCTGTTCAATTCCATTTATATGAAATGTCCAGAAATAGAAAATCTATAGAGACAGAAAGCAAATTAGTGTTTGGCTGGCTGGGCAGTAAAATGGGAGACTCAGTGCAAAGAGACACCCTTTTGGGAAGGTGATAAAAATGTTCTTAAACTAGATTATAAGTGATGATTGTACAACCCTATAAATTTAGTAAAAAATCATATATTTCTAATGGGCAGATTTTATGGTATATAAATATTTCAACAAAACTGCTTTTAAAAATAACTAAAGAAACTGCTAATAAGTATAACATCATATATCTATATCTATCTCCCTCCTCCTAGTATATTAATCAGGTAATCTTGTACAGTTTATTTTCTGTTCTAATGTTTTGCCATACAGTGGCCTCTGCTGGCCAAAAGGAGAGATTTTTTTGATTAGGTGGTTATTACTTGTTTTAAGGTTTTATATTTATAATGTATCCACTATATAGATTAGGTCATAGAAATGGCTATGGTTTCTTAAAAGCCTAAAGTGCTGCCTCTAATAAAACCATGTGTTAATTAACTTACCATTTGGAGTAGTGTTCAAAGAGTGAAAAATAGAAAAAAATTACCCTTGGAATTTTTTCTGGCACAGTTACAGGGACATGAGCAGAACAGAAAATTATGCAAAAGCTTCTCTTGTTCATGGGTTCCACAGAAAGCGGGGTCACTGCGCCACAGGAGAGGGCTGCTGTTTCCTATTATAATAACTGGCAAGACTGAAGTATGACCAAACTCTCAGTGTATGAGGGGCAGCTGAGTTCAGAACCTCTGGTGACCAAGGTAATTTTGGAAATGAGATCTTAGTCCAACTAGTAGAAATGAAGTCTACCTAGGAGTTCTTTTGAATTATCTCTCTGTTCCCAATATTATCTTTTTAGCTTCTCAGTCATGCAAAAAGGAAATTCTGACACCTACTCCCCACTTGGCTGAAGTAGAAGGGGCAGTGGAGGTACCAGTAAAAACTACGTGCTCGTCAGCATCAAGAGCTGCTAAGATTACACTGCCACAAACACTTAGGAGTCTTGATCATTTGGAAAGAAAAAAGGCAAACTGTTGGAACAAAACTTTCCTTGAACAATCAATAAACTAAGAAAATTGGGGGTGGAGGGTGGGAAGGGATAGACAGGATTTCAAAATTGTAGAATAGATAAATAAGATTATACTGTATAGC